TTCAGTTTGTGGCCATTTCCTCTAGTTCTGTCGGTGGCCACCACTGAAAAGAGACCAGCACCATCCTCTGCACTCCCTCCCTTGAGGTACTTCTAGACACTGCTCAGGTCCCCTCTCAGCCTTCTCTTCTCCAGCTGAACAGGCCCAGCTCCCTCAGCCTCTCCTCACAGGGCAGGTGTTCCAGGCCCCTGATCATCCTTGAACATCTGCCCTACGTTTTATTTATTCGTTTATTTATTTATTCGTTTTATTTTATCTTATTTTAATTTTTAATGGAAAATAAAAAGAGGAAGCAGCCAAAGTCCCCCCAGCCCTTCCCGGCAGTTCCTCCTACTCCGTCTTTCCTGAAGGGCTCCCGACAGCCGCGCTTGGTGACCCGGAGGTATTTTGAATTCCTAAAGCTCCCCAAATCCCAACTTCCCGGGAGCGACTTCCATCGCAGGGGGCTCATTTCCTTTTTGGTAAAATGCAAGGACACATCGTTGTCCCCGGAAACTGTCCTGTTTATCCCATGTTTTTACTGGACACCCACACACGCAAAGCCCAAATAAGGTTGATTTTTCAGGGCGTCTCCTCTTTACTTGCTAGAAATTCCCAGAAATTCCCTACAACCTGGAGCAGGGGGTAAAATCCAGCCCTGGGGCTGCTCAGGTTTCCAGCGCTTCAAGAAGTCCTTGGAGGTGGCCCCGTCTCACCCCTTGGCAACACGGATATCCCACCCGGAACCAGGTGCCGCAGCTTTCTTGGGAATAGCAGGAAAAGGGGGGCATTTTTTTGGATACGATTCACCTGTCTCACGTGCAAAGTCCTGCAGGGAAGGTTGACATGGAAGCGCTTTCATCTCCATGAGTGTTGCAAGGAGCATCCATGGGGAGCCCCGTTTCCTCGGGCCGTCGCATGGAGTCGGGATCTCCTCTGGATGGGCTGCGGCCGGCCAGGACCCTTCCTGGAGCCCATTCCTCACTCAGGAATACTCGGTTTTCTCCCTCAATATTCACATTAAACCCCAGGTGGGCCCTTTTTTTCCTCCCTCTCATAAAATACTATTTTTGGGATAGTTCCCCCGCTTCTGCCTCCGTCCTCCATGGGTAGTTCCAGGGCTTGAATGCAGAAAGGGGTGAAAATCGGGTGGAATTTGGGGTCTTTGTGACCGAAAAGCTATTTTTTGTTAGTAGGGATGAAGAAGGGAAGAGAAGGGCTGGGAATGAGAATGAGGGAAGGTGATGGAAAGCTCCGGATGCTGTCCCAGAGGGTATGGATCTCCCAAGGCCACCTGGAAACCATGGGGCACCTTAAGGGACAACGGACCTCCGTGCAGGGTAGCTAAACCGAAACTTCATCCTGAGGCATCATCTCGGGCAAATCCAGCTGGATTTGCAGCTGCCTGCAGCCAGGGAAGCTCCCGGCCCTCTTCCCGATGATCCCACCCAAACAGCGCAGATCTCCTGGCCTCACCCGTCCCACCGCGATTATACAAGAACGAGTCGCAGCAGATGGTGCCAAACCCTCCAGCGGGGCAATAAATCAACAGCAGATGGTGAATATCTAAAAAACCTTCCTCCTGGGAGGCTGGGAACATTCCTCCCTGCTCTCCCTGCCCTTTCCTCAGCAGAAACCAGTGTTCTCCTCCTCTGTCTGGACAGGGGCCACAGGGAAGACGTGCAGGAAAAAGCCCCGTCTGGGTTTAGACAGGCTCTGGAATATCGGCCCTTTCCGTTGCGACATGCCCAGGGTGGTGCCACTCGAGGTGACCCTCTCCCAGCTCCGCACATTTCTCGGCTTCTCGGCTCTGCGGTGCAGCAGGCACCGGCCTGTCCCTGCGTTCAAGACCTGCAGAAGATCTTTCTGGTTTCCTATTTCTTTAAACTTCTTAACTTTCTTTTTGATTTCAGCGCAGTCTTCTCTTCCTTGGCCAAGGAACCCTTTCCTCAAAGTGGCCATTGGTTTCTCCTCCGTGCTGGCATGGGAAGTGGGATGAAGTTGCTGAATCCTAGAATGGTTGAGGTTGGCAGGGACCTCTAGGGATCACCCAGTGCAGCCCCTGCTCCAGCAGGGACACCCAGAGCACGGGGCACAGGGTGGCATCCAGGCGGGTTGGACATCTCCAGAGAAGGAGCCTCCACAGCCTCTCTGGGCAGCCTGTGCCAGGGCTCTGGCACCCTCACACCAAGGAAGTTCTTCCTCACATGGACACGGAGCTGCCTGGGCTTCAACTTGCACCCATGAGTTTGCACCCACAGGTACAAACGCAGTGTGATGAGATGCAGCAAACCCTCACACCTAGGCTGTGTCCAGAGGGGTATTCCCAGCCGATATTCCATTCTGTTATCTCCAGCAGATAAGCAGAGCCCTCCACATCCTTTGCCCCGTGTCCATGCTCATGCTTGTCCCGGCGGAGCCCCGGTGGTGTCACAGAGGCGGGAACCCCGCGGGCCCCGTGGTTCCAGCTCCAGCTTCCAGCACGCCGGGAGCAAAGCACCGGCTCTCCGTGCCGTCCCGCTCGGAGCGTCCCATGGAGCGCCGCGTCCCGCTCCCCGCTTGAGGCCGCGCCGGGGAAGGAGAGCTGACCGCAATGCTGACCCCGCCGCCCTCGCGTGAAGGGGTGCGCTGCTTAGCAAGACCTTCCAGCCCCTAAAACCCCCCAATTATTTAAGTTCTTAATTGCAACCAGCTCCTCACACAAAACCAACGTCTTCTTCCACTTGGCCGGGCGAGTGCAGCCCGTCCTGCAGCTTCGGGTGGCCAAGGAGGTTCTGAGTCACGAGTTTTGCGAGATGGGGTTTGAGCATTTTAGTCATTCTGTTTATTTTACAGCGCAACAAATCATTCTTCGTGCTTTACAAATGTACAATCAGTTCCCTGGGTCAGAGATGTGTAGGTCAGCCAAGAAAAAGCAAAAACAGGAAAGCAAGTGACTGGCAGATAGATGAAGTAACTCGGTCGCTTTCATCTTTAGCTTACTTTCTTCCGATACGTACTGCAAAAAGATTTAATTTATCCATCTTTTTCTCATTTTTATTGGTAAAGAGCTATCTTTAACTGAACCTTTGGCAGTCCTTTTCAGGAAGAAATAATCATTTCCATCGTCATCTCTACTCCAATTTGAATAGTTGCGTAGGACATTTCGGAAGCGGCCGCTCCGTTCTTTGGGTCTTACCCAAAATTTCTGTTGAGTGTCTGACTCAGAATTGGTCCATGAAAGGACTGTGGTTCAGTATATGTACACCAAAAAACCACAAGTTTTAATAATGCCCCTGATTGTGGAAAAAAAGAACTTTGTAAATAAGGAGACGATATTACAAGCAGAAGTTGGTAAATTGTAACAAAATAAAAATCTCCGTGAACAGGGTCACTAAAAAGTTATGGAAAAGTTCAACTTTGAAGAGAAAGTTGGGACACTTTGGAAGTTTTTTGAGTAGTTTATTAATGGCTAAATAATACTTAGCAGCCACTTTGGAGGCTTTAATAACAACTCTAATAATCCCCCTAAAAACAAGTAGGTTAAGCCTGGTAGCCAAAGGCAAGTATGACTCATAAGCAACCTGCTGGCCTGTCATTTCTTTTATTGAAATAATTGTTTGTAATTTAGCTGCTTATAAGCTACTTATAAATAGAATCATGCTTGAGGGTTTTAATCAGCTCGGGCTAAAGCCAAAGTGGCTGCGATGAGCAGGAATCTGCAGCCTGGAGCAGCTTCGGCGCTTCCTAACGGGCCGCCCTGGTCTCATTCCGTAGCTGGAGGCAGCAGATACGGAAGGATGTTGCTCCCAGCAGCAGGAAGAGTTTCCCAATGCTCCTGGCTTGGTAAGTGAAGGGATCATCCTTTCCTTTGGTGGCAAACCCAAGATCCCGGGTCCTGGGATCGACCTGGCTGCTCCGTGTCTCCGGGGAGGTCATCCTTAACGGAGGGTGAGGGACGTTTTCCAACATAAACCCACGTGGGCTAAGCCCTAACACAGCGAAGAGCAGCTGTCCTGCTAGTCATAGGCAGATCCAAACACGACCTACACAAATGCAAGAGACCTTGGTGCTGGATTCAACAGCCCAGCTCCAGCTGCCAGATGGAAACCAATGGCGTGAGGAAACTTTTAGATATTCACCTCCTTTTTCTCATATTCTCCACGTTTTTTAGCAACTGGGGTCTCTCCAGGCAGTCCTCTCAGCAAGGACCAGGTCCAGGCAACCAGGGTCGGCAGAGGATGGTGCTTCTCCTACTTCTGCAGCTGTAGGATGGATATATGGAGGTGGCTCTTCTAATTCAGCTGTCCCTTGTGTCCCCCACAGCTGAGGGACTTTCTGCCGTTCACCGACAATAAGTTTCAGACCCACCTCAATAACTGCAGGCGGTGCACGGCGCTCACGGTCCGATCCTCGGCGTTCAACGAGGACATGACCACGTTGATCGTAACGAACAATTCCCTTCCCGACTTGAAGGCTAAGCCCAGGGCGTTTTTCACCAGAGAGGAATTTGGAACGGTAAAACACACGTCATAACATAAAACATAACAAAAACAACCCCAAAACACATGCAGGGACTGAGGGTCAGTGCTGGCTAGCTGCAAGGTTGAAGCGTGACAGACCTCAGCGACACTGCCTCGTCTTTGCTCTTTGTCTTCTCCTTTGCTGGGCACCTCCGCTGCCTGTTCCTGGCCACGTGCAGATAAAAATCTCATCCAGGTTAAAAAATAACAGAGCTGCTCCCCTTGCTTAAGGGCTTATGGTCAAAACGGAGCCTATTGCCACCATCTCCCGCAGGAGTTGGATGCCTCATTTTTAGCCAGTTGAATTTAGGTGAGATGAGGCCCACCATCAGTGCTGTGCAATTATACTAACTTTAGTTTTCTTGTTTTCCTGTCTCTGTGTCAGTGAAGTTACAATATTCACAAAGCAAGCCAGACCACCACCAAGAACGGCTCAAAATGTATTATTTTCTTTCAAAATGTATTATTTTCTTAAATGTCTCAGCTGGCTTCTTAGGGTGGTTTTGGAGAACACACTTGTTTGCATTAGGGTCGTATCTGTGACTGCCACACGGCTTTGTGTGTTTAGTCTCCACAGCTCCCCACCCTTATCAGTTACTGAATTTGCTTTTATTTCTCACAAAAAACACCCCGCTCACCCAAACATCCTCATTCCTGCTACAAGATCTCTTTATGTTACCTTGAATGAGTGCCAGGAACTTCTCCCTTGCGTTAAGGTGGATGTTTTAATCCCAGCACAGTAATAACTCCAGTCTCCCTTGATTTAATTTTCCACTCCCTTACAGGGGATGGCTCCCAGGAGCCTGGTTCCTTTGCAGAAGACACATCAGAAGGAGCCAACAGAACCAAAGACAACTTTTCCAGTGGAAATAGCTGGGAAGCGCCTTCAGTTCAGGTATCTGAATCACTTTCCTGCATAATCTCTGCTAGAGCAAAGGCACAAACCTGGAACTCTAACTTCAATGTGACGCTAAGAAGGGGACCCAGCACAGGCAGATATTTGAGTATTTTTAAGTATTTGAGTATTTATAAGATACTTACATATTTTTAAGTGGTGATTAAGATCCTTGTGTGGTTTCCAACGGCAAGAAAGCCCAATCCTGTGGGTTATGTTTTAGCCCAAGTATTTCTGCAGATCCTCATTCCCTCTGTGCTGCCCTGGGTCTGTTTTATAACAATGTCCAGCTGGGCTGTGCCAAACATCTTCCCCAGCTCCTAAAGCAAAGTTATGGAGTGATTTTGGCACTCGGGATTGCCAGGGGTGTCTCAGGGTCTGCTGTAGATGCAACCTGCTGTGCTTGCAAGGCCTGACAACTTCCACTTGCCTTCTTCTTACCTTCCACTTAGCCAACAGCTTCCACTTGCCTTCTTCTTACCTTGCACTTAGCCAACAACTTCCACTTGCCTTCTTCTGGGGCTGCTTTACTGATGAGCCTGGTTTTCATTTCCACCCTTAGGTTCTCCACGGACAGTGACTTCGAGGTAGAAGGACGGTTCTCCAAAAGCTACGCTGAGAAGGAAATGAAAAGGCAATATCCGCAGCTCCGCTATCAAATCCCCCCTAAGCCAGGTGGGAATTGGGTATTCCTGGAAAAGGGGAGGAAGGAATGGGTGGGCTGAGCACATCCAGCACCTCCTGCAAAGCTGGGATTGGTGACGTTGGGAAAGGCAGTGGGTGAAGACCCTTCTCAGGCACCCAAATGCACCTTGTGCTCATCCTAGACCAACACAGCAAGCCACCCTGAGCACAGCCAGCGCAAGGAACCCTCTGGGTTGTCCCTTTTGTCACCGTTTAAGACCCCTGTGTAATGGCAAAAGCTCCGTGCACGTGAAAGCTCACTCAGCTGCCCACATCTCTAAAGTCAATTAAGTTAAACTTTTATGGATGCCTGGATTCCTAAAGGACGAAGCAGGGGCTTATCACAGAGCAGATAAGCCATGGCGTGCCTCAAGTGCTCTTACCAGGCTCTGCCAACTGCCCTTTCGCCCTCCTCTTCTCCCACCCTCTCTTAAGGCTGCTGCCTCCTCTCAGCCTATTCCTCTAATTTATATCAAATTAATTTAGCATCCAGACCTTCCTCTAGCTTCAGAGGCCCTCTGTCCTCCATAATTCTCAGTACAGCCCTTCCCTGCCCATTCCTCCCCTCCGTGCTCAGTACTGCAGGATGTGCAATGCCAAGATCAGGACTTCTGAGAAGAGCTGGGCTTTTTTTCTTACTTATGTACTAAGAACTGGACTGCTGATGAGGTCTTTGAAGAAAACCAAGAGCAAGGAATCTTCTGGTAAAAATGGGCATCTGTAGGAGCACTGAGTGAACAGATGTGACTGTGTGTAGCAAGTGATCAGGGTTGTTTTCTCCTCCTCCTGAAGGGAGGCACTTCCTGGCCTCCTGCTCTGATGGAGGGAGCAGGCGTTAGGGATCACCTTTTCACCCTGGCAGAACCTCCAAAACATCCAGTCCTTCAGGGAATACTGTGGAAAGCAGCCGTCCACAGCAGCCACACATAATACCAACTGGATACTCTTTATCTCCATCTCTCATGGCGTGAATCTCCCAACTGTGAAGCAGGAGGTGGTGTGGGAAGTGGTAGCCGGAGGAGCAGTCGGTGCCTTTGGGTGGAAAATACTTAGAGGTGAACAAGGTTTTTCACAGCCCGCCTGGGTATGTGTCCAAACACCCGCCTGACATCACTCCGAAACGAACATGGAGTGATCCCCACACTGAGAGCAGAGCGGGCTCCCTTTAATTAATTTTGTAAATGAAGATATCTATTTTCACCTAATTTCTGCTCAGAATAGCTCTTTACAGCAGGAGGTGCTGGCTCACTGGGATCCCAGCAAGAAAGGCATCCAGACACCACAAAGTGCCATTTATTGGGGCTGGAACAAGAAGGGAAAAGAGGATTAGCGTAAATAACCTTTCACCCAGGGTACACAGACCCTGTCACGATGTCCCTCACAGCTCCCCCCCTTCTCTGTGCCTTGTCCCAGGTCCAGCCCCAGCGGAGCAGAGAGGCCACCCACAGGATGCGGCAGCCTCCCAGCGGCAGCCCCTGCGCCTGTCCTCGCTCTTCCAGATCCACCGTGTGGTGGCTGTGCCCGGCGATGATGGCTTCAGGCACGGCTGCGTCTCG